ATTACCTTTCTGTACTTGTTACATGTCTGTTACGGCTTGAACTGTGTCATCCAAAAAGATGTGTTGAAGTCCTAACCCCCAGTACCTTAGAATATGTTATTTCAAAAGAGGGTCATTGCAGATGTAATTCGTAAAGATGAGGTCACACTGGAGTAGGCTGGGCACTTCAACCTCTAGGAGACAGGCACGTTGAGGGAACAGCACATGTGGAGATGGAGGCAGAGACTGAAGTGCTGCAGCTACAAAGCCAAGGAGCACCAAGAAAGGCCAAGGGTTGCTGAAAACACCAGCAGTGGAAAAGAGACAAGAATTCTCTCCTCTAGGTTTCAGAGGGAGCACAGCCCTGCCAACACTTTGATCTTGAGCTTCATGTCTCTAGAACTGTGAGGTAATAAATTTCTGTTGTCTTAAGCCACCTAGTTTGTAATACTTTTTTTTTTTTTTTTTTAACGACAACCATATAAAATGAAGTCTTTTTGGATTTTCTATTGAGTCAGTTTTGGCAATTTGTGTCTGTCTAGGAATTTGTCCAATTCATCTGCATTGTCTAATTTATTGGCACAAGGTTATTTACAGTCTCTTACAATCCTTTTAATTTGGGTTGGTAGTGACGTACCTGCTTTGATTCCTAATTTTGGTCTTTTTAATTTTTTGACCAGTTTAATATTGGCTCATTAATTTTACTGTTTTTTTCCAAAAAACAAACTTTTGATTTTCATTTTCTCTATTTTTGTTACTTATTTCATTGATTTGCAATATAATTATTTCCTCCCTTTGCTAAAGGTTTACATTCCGCCTTTCTAGTTTTCAAGGTGGGAGTGTAGATTTGAGACTCTTTTTCTTGGTGTTTAAAGGACTAAATACCGTTTTGATCACTGTTTTAGCTGCAGTGCATGACTTCAATATGTTTTCACTTTCATTCATTTCAAAATACTTTCTAACTTCCTTTAGTACTTCTTCCTTGGCCCATGAGTAACCTAATTTCCAAACATTTGGGGATTTTCCAAATTTCTTTCTATTGTTAATCCCTAATTTAATTCCATTGTAACTAAAGAATATACTTTGTATGATCCCAATTCTTTTAAATTTACTGAGACTTATTTATGGCCGACCACAGGGCTATCCTGGAGAGTATACTTTTTTTTTTTTTTTTTTTTTTTTTAGATGGAGTCTCTGTCTGTTGCCCTGGCTGGAGTGCAGTGGCGCAATCTCGGCTCACTGCAAGCTCTGCCTCCCGGGTTCACACCATTCTCCTGCCTCAGCCTCCTGAGTAGCTGTGATTACAGGCACCTGCCACCACACCCGGCTAATTTTTTTGTATTTTTCAGTACAGACATGCCCGACCAATTTTTCTGTATTTTTCAGTAGAGACGGGGGTTTCACCATGTTAGCCAGGATGGTCTCCATCTCCTGACCTTGTGATCTGCCCACCTCGGCCTCCCAAAGTGCTGGGATTACAGGTGTGAGCCACCGCGCCTGGCCCAGTATACTTTTAAAAAGAAAAGTAAGTAATGCTGTCATTAAGTACAGTGTTCTGTACATATCAGTTAGGTTGAGGGTCCTGTTCAAGGCTTCTACATACTTAGTGATTTTCTGCCTGGTTGTTCTATACGTTATTGGGAGTAGGGTACTGAAATATAAAATTACTATTGTTTGTATATTTCTCTATTCGATTCAATCATTTTTGCTTCATGAATTTAGGGTTCTGTTACTGGGTGCATATACATTTATAACTGTTATATCTTCCCAATGTATTGACCCTCTTATCAGTATGGAATTTCTGTCTCTAGAAATATCTCTTGTTGGCCAGGCACGCTGGCCTGTAATCCCATTTGGGAGGCCAAGAAGGGTGGATCACATGAGGTCAGGAGTTTCAGACCGGGCTGGCCAATATGGCGAAACCCCATCTCTACTAAAAAAAATACAAAAAATTAGCCAGGCGTGGTGGCAGGCACCTGTAATCCCAGCTACTCGGGAAGCTGAGGCAGGAGAATTGCTTGAACCCGGGAGGTGGAGGTTGAAGTGAGCCGAGATTATGCCATTGCACTTCAAAAAAAAAAAAAAAAAAAGAAAGAAAAAATATTTCTTTCTTAAAGTCTATTTCATCTGATATTAGTATAGCCACTACAAATCTCTTATGGTTCGTGTCTGCATAGTCTACTGTTAAGTATCGTTGGTATTATTATCATTATGGTACATGAACCAGTTTCTCACTTTTACAGTTCTTAAATTGAGATCTGAATTATTTTAATTTGCAAGCTTTTCTATAACAAGAAAGCTATAAATTCTTTGATCAGCTTTACACATATTTTGGTAGAGTTTTGGGTAAGACAGTAATCAATACTCGGTTCATTAAAAGCAATTAGAAACCTAAACAAGCTTCTCCCTTAAAAAAGATGATCCAGTTGTGTATTTGTTGCATGGTATTGTTGCCTGACGTTGTCTCACTTTCAGGCTGGGTTCTGAAATCTGAGAATGACACTTGTCTACCTTCCTGCCAGTTCCAATCCAGGATTTATGAACTGTACAAGGGTTGTTACCACCACTCCTCTGCTTATGTGCAAGTACCACATCTTAGAAACACTCATTTAAGTCAGGTGGCTTAACCATAGGTATTGCTGCTTTTCCTGTAAGCCTTAGATAAAAGTTAAAATTTATTTTATACCATTCAATGTCTCACATATTATGCACAATGTGCACAGTGTTGCCTTGTCTCATCATTAAGATACATACTTTTCAGCATTTAGAAATCATTGTTTTACATGGTAATGTAGTGATTACATATATTTTAAGTTAAAGAATTTATTCTGGCATTGATTCTTTGGTATTTTTAAGCCTTGCTCAGTGAAAGGATGCTGCTGCTGATTGCTTCATATGTTAATATTTAAGATATACAATTATTATCCAAGTGGTTTGTCAATTTAAATGGGATATGAGCATGTTACAACATGCTCATTTCAATAAAAACGTTTAAAAAACCCAGTCTGCTCAACAAATCACGTAGGGCAAAAGAGAAGGTCGTTTTAAAAAAGGTAGGTATTTTTTTCTACCTGTTAAATGTCTTTTACCTCTTAAATGTCTGACAATTTTCACTGATATTTGAAACAGAACATAATTACCTAAGAATATTCTTAGTCCCTATATATTGCTACATTTTAATGAAATTATTGAATTGAGACTTCTTGATTTGTGGCTCCCTTAAAATCACCTCTGCATTTGATGTATTATAAGGACAAGAAAATGATGCAATAATAGAAAGGTGTATAGAGTGATGGAGAACAGAAGATAGGATTAATAGTAATTGAATGGATTCATATGATAGTGGATCAGAAGGATAAATGAGGACTTCTTCCTTTTGAGAAATTACACATTTCGCCCTCTAGGGAAATAGAGAAAATACCTCTATAGGCAATTTACTTTTTCCCGCATTCATTTGACTTTTCATTTCCAGAAATGCAGTTTCTCATTGTCAGCTGAGCTTTTGGAGGAGTATATTGTTTTTCTAGGAAACGGGTAACTTACAAGTCTTAAGGAACATATACAATTTGCTAAGAATTTTCTTTGTCACTTGAAAGTCATGTGTAAACCCACATCTATACATGAGCCACATTTTCACTTAAATTTCAAACTCCAAAATAAACATTCCTATTAAGAATTTTAATACACAATGGCAAAAGATAAACTCTTCTGGTTTAGGCAGTTTTTGTTTTAGCAGACTATCTAAACACAGCTGCTACAACTTCCAATAAACAAAGAGCAACACTAAACCACCTGTATTTGGATATTCGGATTCCTTCTTGGAAAAAGAGCATCTTTACCCTAGCTAACAGCAAATTCTGTGAGTAAGATTTTTTTTTTTTTTTGAGACGGAGTCTCACTCTGTCGCCTAGGCTGGAGTGCAGAGGCGCGATCTCAGCTCACTGAAACCTCTGCCTCCCAGGTTCAAGGATTATCCTGCCTCAGCCTCCCGAATAGTTGGCATTACAGGCGCCCTCAACCACGCCTGGCTAATTGTTGTATTTTTAGTAGACACGGGGTTTCGCCATGTTGGCCAGGCTGGTTTTGAACTCCTGACCTCAGGTGATCCGCCCGCCTCAGCCTCCCAAAGTGCTGGGACTACAGGCGTGAGCCACCGCGCCAGGCCTGTTGTTGTTTTTCAAATAGAGACAAGGTCTCACTATGTTGTCCAGGCTGGTCTCAAACTCCGGAGCTCAAGCGATCCTCCTGCCTCGACCTCCCAAAGTGCGGGGATTACAGGCGTGAGTTACCGTGCCCGGCTGTAAGATAGTTTTTCATATCATATTAAATAAATACAGCATTGCAGCATTTAACTTAGCCTGACTCCTACAGCTGAACATAAAACTTGCTCCCGATAGCAAACAATTAAAATGGTATCAAGTGATCTAGTAATCGAAATTCTATTAACTGAAATACGAAACACCTAAAGCCCTCAAAATGAGCAAACGCTGCGTGGTGCGGTCCCAGACCCAAGCTTCTGGGAGTGAAAGGTGCACCTGCAACCATCTGGCTGGCTCTGGGACTCTGCGATAAACCGCCCTCTCGCTGTCTGCAGATAGCTCCTGAAGCGGGAGAGTCTCTCCCATCCTCCGCCTAACAGACGGTATCTGACCCTTCCAGGCAGCAGCTACCCAGCCTGCGGCTGCGCTGGGGCCCAGAAGGGCGAAGCTTCCCGGCAGAGAACCTGGGCAGAGGCTCCCGCTGGGGTAGGCGGCCGGGACCTACTCGCCGCTTCTCCCCTCGTCGTCGGGTCCCTTGAACGCAGGTCGCTTGTTTGCTTTACGCGTTGTGAGCAGCCAGTGGCTATTTATGGCAGTAAGGAATATTATTATCCACATTTCACGTGGAGCTTGGAAGACAGGGCGAGGGTGCACACTCTCCTTACTGTGCTCTGCAACGGTCCTCCCCGCCGTGCCCTCGCAGCCCCCTCGGGGCCAGTGCCGCCGCACGCTGCCAGCAGACAGCAGAGCGCGGGCGCGCACAACTGGGCATGCGCCATGGCCAAGCCGTCCGCTTTAGGGCCCTCCCCTCCCGTACCCGGCCCGGAGGAACCGGGAGCGCCCGGGAATCGGGAACGTGCGTGATGACGCACGTGCACGCGAAGACGTGGGGACGCAGGCGGGTCGTAGAGAGCGTGAGTTTCCGCGTCTGTTTGGTCCGGCTCCTGTCGTCGGTTCTGAGAGGCGTCTCTCGCTGTCTCCCCGGGCTGCGGGCGCTGGCCGCCGGGCAGGGGTTGCTGGGCGGAGGTCGGCGCCTCCCGGGGGGCCAGGGCGAGGGAGGCATGGCAGGGTTGGAGGCATAGCCTCCCCGTCCGGGGCAAGTTCGACAGCGGGGAGGGCGTTTCCTGGGGCAACTCCACCGGGGTCCTGTGGACGTTGCCCCTTCTCCGCCGGACCGCACGGGAACGACGTGCCCACACTCGGAGGAAGGGGTTGGCGCTGAGCGAGTTTAAAGGGTTCCTTTTGAAAGCAGGAAGTTTGAAGTGAAGTGAAGTTGCGTCAGCAGCAGAGCATGCAGTTTCAGGTGCTGTCGGGACAGCTTTCAGCTTCTCAGAACAAGCCTAACCCTCACCGCAGTAATAACTTTTATTAGGGGACAAAAAATTCACCAAAGTAAAACCCTTTCTGCCCAAACCTAAAAACCTTTGGATAAACGTTTGCAAGAAACGGATCACACCCTTATTTGTTTTTCTAGACTGAGCATAAACTCTTTTGAAGACTCAGCGTTACTGTCAAAATGAATGATTGCCTGCCTACTTATGATTCAGTTATCGAGGTGTTTAGGTCTAAACCTTGCAGTACACTCAGTGACTCCCAGACTTTTTTTCCTCCCCCTCCCTTTGAAATTGCTTGTTAGAAGGCTTTATCTAATTTCTCACATTTGTGTGTCTTTTTAAGGTGGTTCTAATAAACTTTAAAGGCTCCTGATTTGCTGCGGGCCTGCCATCGCTGTGGAAAACAAGTATTCTTTCAAAGGAGAATAGAAGTGCGTTGGTTTCTAAATAGTCCCAATAGGACGCTAGCATCAGCATCACTTGGAAACTTTTTGGAAATGCACATTTTGGGATCTTACCCCAAACTTACTGAATCAGAAATATGTTTTAACAAGCCTTCCAGTTGGTACCAGTGCACCTGGATGCTAAAGTTTGAGAATTATTGGCGTAGTGATAACACCCATTGTGGAGTCACATATAATGGAATTTGAATTGAAGTAATTCCTAGATGGAGACACTTGGACATGTTACCTCACAGGGCAGGAATATGAAGATGCAAGAAAAATGTTTAACACCAAACACATAGAAAACCCCCAAAGATGTTATTAAATAACTTACTAAAACTGCGTAAAGTAAGTACATAGTTTGTGCTGGAAGGATTCTTCAGCGGGGTAGATATGAGTTGTAGTGCATGGATATTGGGACCGCTGCTTAGAGGGTATTTTGTTTACCTCGGGATTCTCAATTCTGTGTAGTCAAGGTTGTTGGATGCAGGATGTTCAGTTAAAAGTTAAAGCAGTGCATACTAATGCTATTGTGGTTGTGGGATTTTTAAGAATAACGTTAGTATTTATGTTGAAGAGTAGTTTTTAATTCTTTGACCTTGTGAGCTCTTCAGTTTTATTTGTTTATTTGGAGACAGAGTCTCTTTCTGCCGCCCAGGCTGGAGTGCAATGGCGCGATCTGGGCTCACTATAACTTCTGCCTCCCAGGTGTAAGCGATTCTCCTGCCTCAGCCTCCCAAGTAGCTGGGATTACAGGTGTCTGCCACCACTCCCAGCTAATTTTTGCATTTTTAGTAGAGGTGTTTGCCAGCTGGTCTCGAACTCCTGACCTCAGGTGATACACCTGCCTCGTCTTCAGTTTAGTTATACCTTGTTTGACCCAGAATTTGGTAAAGACCAGCGGTAAGCACTAGTTTTGGAGTTGAGAAGTATTGTAACATAGTGACTTGCAAGCAAAATCCAAGGCTGAAGATGTTTCTATCCTTATCTTTGTTTCCCATATGTCATACAGCTCCACGGTAGCAAAGCTCTCATGTCTACTTTAGATACCTCCCCTTTCGGGAAGGATCACAGGAGTGCCCTCAACCTGCTGTGTTTTTTAGATGCAGTGTTTTCTTACAACTTTAATTCCTTCAGGGGCCCATTGTAGGGGGATAAAGAAATATTCAAGATTTAAAGCAGCTGCTCTAAAGGCTACGTTCACTGCAGTGTTGAGAAGGTCAGTGCCAAACCGTGGTCTACACATGTCGTTTTGATTAGAGCACACTGCTCCCAAGGCTACACCATGGCTCCTGGATATTGAGAGTTTTCAGGTGAAACATGAGTCACTTTGGATGGATTATTCTGGAAATAATTTCGTTAGCTCTGCCACCAAATTGGCACTGCCGCATCATGAAATGTTTATTTTTCAAAGGCATCAAATTTTTTTTTTGTTGTTGTTGTTCTCCCTATCGGAGACACAGATTGCTATCCGTGGTTTTGGATCAGACAAGTCTTTCTGCTCGGAATCTTGCGTCTGCTACTTAGTGATTGCGTCGCTTAGGCAAATTAACATCCTCCCCACTTGAATTTCTGTAAAGTAGGAGTCATAGGATGTGCTACTGCAGGCCATTGAATTCAATGAAGTAACGCATAAAACGTGTTTTAGGCACAGAGACTCAGTAAATATGTGTCGGACAAAGGGAAAAAAGGTATTTGTCACCTCAAACCTAACTTTATGCCATTCATTTTGTAATATTTTTATAAAAGAGGTAATTTTATTACCTAACTGCACTGCTTTTCTTTTTAACCATAAAATGCTGAAATGGAGTCAAAGCTTTCACATTATTGTGAATGAGAAAAAACACTTGAAAAAAGTTGAAAGTTTAACGTGGAAAAACACCATCTTCAGTTTTATCACTGTAACAGCAACTTCTAGAAATTGTTTTGGATGATTACAGGAGGGTAAACATCCAAAGGTCAGGGGATGAATAATAAAGTATCTTCAGTCAGTTAATGGGGACAGTCAGCTAGAGAACGGGACACTGTTACAGGAAATGAGACCTCACTGAAGGTATGCATCAAAGGATGAGAAAATGCTGTTAGCCCTGAAATTGCTAATATTTTTTAAAAACACAAGTTCTTAATAGCAAAAAAAGTTTTACATTCCATTTTTAATAAGGGATAACAAAATTCTTACATGTATTTGTGTGTATATATTGCATATGAACGTATGAGTGCAGAAAATACTTGAAAGGACTCACACTAGGTGATAATGTTTATTTGTCAGTATATTGGAATATGGGGATGGGGACCAAGTATAAAAGGAAATTATACATTTATGGAAAATTAGATACATACATGTATATGTAAACGTTGTTTAAAAAATCTATTAAAAACAAGCGATTCTTTAAAAGGTAGATTTCCTTTTATGTTGCAGTTATAGCCATGTAAGCAGTGGTCCTCATATCTTTTCAACAGGGAGCCTCTTAAACAGAATCTTATCTGTAAAACTCAGGAGCCGAGAAGCTTTAAGAGCAGTGAGGTTGAAGGGCACAGGCTCTTGGTCCTTGGCAGCGATGCTAGGAGGTGTGCCTAGGGAACCTAGGATTCTGGGGAGCTGGACATGAAGCTCTGTGGTGGAACAGAAATCCTCAGGGCATGAGCTATACCTAAAAAGTAATGGTATTAAGAATTGTGGTAAGTGGGATTCACAAACTTGTTCTGAAGACAGTTTCCAAGGTTGTCAGCCATGTCACCATATGGATGGCTTCTCATGCAGGGGAGTGAGTGATTATTGAGAAAAAAAAATCCACCTGATCCATATTTTACAAAGTGGGATTCTGTGCTCTTTTTTGAGGAATTAGCTTTTTAAAAAATCCCTCCAAGTTGTGACAGCTATATCACTATTAAAAGTTATTTGGCATTTTAACTGACTGTTGTTTAGGATTACAAATGACTCAGGAAAAAAGAAACAGGGAGTCAAAGGAAATGTACTACTTGTGTTTATAGCCCTGTCATTTTTTTGTTGTATGGAAGCAACTTCTCTATATTTATATGGTAAAGTGCTTTTTTTTTTTAAGAGAGTTAATTTTCAGTTAATGAGCCTTCATAAGAAAAATAATTTCAAATTTTAAGTATTTGTTAGATTGTTATTAACAGTGATAGTGATATTACATTGTCTTTTTCACACATCGAAGAGGGTTTCCTGGTGACAGCTGGAGCTTGGGGGAGGGGGAGTTACTTTCAATCAACCAGCTGCTTTGTGGCAGTATCATGATGGTGATATTTGAAAGCCCATAGATAATTTTGGCTGTATTCAGGGAAGAAAATCTATCAAATTTCTGGGAAGCAACAGATAGTGGGCAAGAGCCCTTTGGGATCTAGATGATGGCCAACTAACAATGTGTGCATTTAGGTTTGCATGTTGGAGTTATTTACCATCTAGTTTCTTGAACATTGTTACATGCACCTCATAATTACACAGCAATAGAATCTAGTTCTAAGGGCAGGAAAGGCTGATTAAGGAGAGGAAAGGAGAGTGAAAAACTTTGGTGATGTGCTACATGCTTTAATATACCCTATTTCATCTATTCTTGATGGTGATTCTAGGATGTAAGTGGAATTTTTTTCCGTCTATGGATAAAGAAACAGAAGCTCTACAGTACTGATTATATGATTTGCCCAAGGCCACATACTAGTATACGATGGCATCCATATTTGACGCCAGATCTTCTGGCATTAGCTCCAGGAGTGTTGTCATTACACCAACAGCTGTTTCTCCAGGTGTTAACTTGCTTATGCATTTTTAATGCAAAGTCACAATATCAGAGTAGTAATGAATGAAATAAATATAAATGTTACTTACAATGACTTCAGTTTTATAAATAATGTATAGGGGGGTGTGTGTGTGGACTTGTGTGTGTATATGTGTGTTTTGGCAACTACATATAATTTGGGTTTTTTTTCTTTGAGTAAAAAGTCTCTTGGGCAATACTGTGAAAAAAAATTCACTACCTTTTTTTTTTTTAAATATATTGCTGATACCAGCAATATTGCAATTATGTGTGTTGCAATGAATCAGTTATGATTCTAAATTTGAACAAGTCTAGGAATGAATTTTGTGCACACTGCCCGTGTAGTCCCCTTATCCTAACA